ATGGATGGATGGACGGATGGATGGATGGACGGATGGACGGATGGATGGATGGATGATGGATGGACGGATGGATGGATGATGGATGGACGGATGGATGGATGGACGAATGGATGATGGATGGATGGATGGATGGATGGATGGATGGACGGATGGATGGATGGATGGATGGATGGATGATGGATGGACGGATGGATGGATGGATGGATGGATGGATGGATGATGGATGGACGGATGGATGGATGGATGGATGATGGACTGATGGACGGATGGATGGATGGATGGATGGATGATGGATGGACTGATGGATGGATGGATGGATGATGGATGGATGATAGATGGACTGATGGACGGATGGATGGATGGATGATGGATGGATGGACGGATGGATGGATGGATGATGGATGGATGATAGATGGACTGATGGATGGATGGATGGATGATGGATAGTTGGACGGATGATTGGATGGATGGATGATGGATGGACTGATGGATGGATGGATGGATGGATGGATGATGGATGGATGATAGATGGACTGATGGACGGATGGATGGATGGATGATGGATGGATGGATGGACGGATGGATGGATGGATGGATGGATGATGGATGATGATAGATGGACTGATGGACGGATGGATGGATGGATGGATGATGGATGGACTGATGGATGGATGGATGGATGGATGGATGATGGATGGATGATAGATGGACTGATGGACGGATGGATGGATGGATGATGGATGGATGGATGGACGGATGGACGGATGGATGGATGGATGGATGGATGGATGGATGGATGGATGATGGATGGATGATGGATGGACTGATGGATGGATGGATGGACGGATGGATGGATGATGGATGGATGATGGATGGACTGATGGATGGATGGATGGACGGATGGATGATGGATGGACTGATGGACGGATGGATGGATGGATGATGGATGGATGGATGGACGGATGGATGGATGGATGGATGATGGATGGATGGATGGATGGATGATGGATGATGATAGATGGACTGATGGACGGATGGATGATGGATGGATGGATGGACGGATGGATGGATGATGGATGGATGATGGATGGACTGATGGATGGATGGATGGACGGATGGATGGATGATGGATGGATGATGGATGGACTGATGGATGGATGGATGGACGGATGGATGATGGATGGACTGATGGATGGATGATGGATGGATGGACTGATGGACGGATGGATGGATGGATGATGGATGGATGGATGGATGGATGATGGATGGATGATGGATGGATGGACGGATGGATGGATGGATGGATGATGGATGGACTGATGGACGGATGGATGGATGGATGATGGATGGATGGATGGACGGACGGATGGATGGATGGATGGATTAAGGAGAGCAGAACCTCTGATACGTATTGAACATTCAGGTTTTGACTCGTTTTTGTTCACACAAAGGGTTGAGAAAGATAAAACTAAATTCTCTGACAAACTTCATATTTATGTGCTAACAAACAAACCTAGTAAGTAAACAACAGATGGCACGCTTCGGTAAAATGAAGTGGTGAAACGTCAGCAAGTGACCTGCGCAGCACCTTGGATATCGTTTTAGCATGAGGGAGCGTGTGCAGAACGGGCAGATTATTACATTAACACCTTAAATGAATGGTAATAGTGAAAATGAATAAAACACAAAGGTGTCTTATTTAGCTTTGTATTATTTAGTGCGACTGAGCTGGGGCTGAGATGTTCAGCTGTGATGCACACTTCCAAAGGTGAAACACTGAGTCGTGTGAAAAAAGCGGGGTGAAGGCTGTTGGAAACGTGCAAATGCAAAAGAAGAATGCTTTCTTAGAGCATACTGAGGCACGCCTGTCTACGCCCTCACGTCTCTTCAGTTTGACATCTCCAGTCGGTTTACGACTCGGCCACACGGGTAAAATACAAACAAACTGTAACTTAAGCTAAAGTTACCGCCAGTCTCCCATTAATCACAACTTATCACCAGAACGGTGCCATCAGTCGAGATTAAAGTCACTTGTCAGCTGTGAATAAAATATCAAATTGTCAGCTATTATTGTTGAAAACATACATTTCCCTTTGCTGCAGCTCGGTGTCGGATTGATCCTAACATCTCTCAGCCAGCTGAACCAGCTGGTACGTAAAGAAATCCGATCCTGGAAAAATAATGCAACACTGATGCTTTGTCTCCACAGATAACACAAGCCTGAAGGAGTTATGCTGTGTGGTGGAGCTGCTAATGCTAAAATTTAGCTTCTACTGGCTGCGAAAATAAACACAGCCTTCCCCGTCGCAAGCCAAGATGGATGAATCCATGAATTGTAGTTTCACATTGTGACACAGGTCTGTGACTTTTTCTCACCCTAGTGTTTCTTCCTGTGTTTCTTTAGGCAGCTAAGACAAGGAACAGGGATAGAAGACTCATTTCATGTTTAACATGCAGGATCAAGTAACATTCCCCATGAACCTGGGCTTTAAAACCTGAATTGAAACCAGCCACTAGGGGGCGCTACATTCCTGGGGCTTGTAATTATACCTGCAGATGTTTAGTTTTTGAACAAAAGTTCGATTTTGACAAGAACTTCATAGCTGGAGAATTTGAGCTAGTGGCCACCCAGCCTCCTATAGCTGTGGCCGCCCAGCCTCCTATAGCTGCGGCCGCCCAGCCTCCTACAGCTGCGGCCGCCCAGCCTCCTACAGCTGCGGCCGCCCAGCCTCCTACAGCTGCGGCCGCCCAGCCTCCTATAGCTGCGGCCGCCCAGCCTCCTACAGCTGCGGCCGCCCAGCCTCCTACAGCTGCGGCCGCCCAGCCTCCTACAGCTGCGGCCGCCCAGCCTCCTACAGCTGCGGCCGCCCAGCCTCCTACAGCTGCGGCCGCCCAGCCTCCTACAGCTGCGGCCGCCCAGCCTCCTACAGCTGCGGCCGCCCAGCCTCCTACAGCTGCGGCCACCCAGCCTCCTATAGCTGCGGCCACCCAGCCTCCTATAGCTGCGGCCACCCAGCCTCCTATAGCTGCGGCCACCCAGCCTCCTATAGCTGCGGCCACCCAGCCTCCTACAGCTGCGGCCACCCAGCCTCCTACAGCTGCGGCCACCCAGCCTCCTACAGCTGCGGCCACCCAGCCTCCTATAGCTGTGGCCACCCAGCCTCCTATAGCTGCGGCCACCCAGCCTCCTATAGCTGTGGCCACAGGCAGGATTTGCTGGTCACAATAAAGAAAGACCATCCTTTCATTTCTATAACTGTACTAACTCATGATACCAGAATATCTCAAAAGTGTTGCATGTGATTGTTCACACATTACGACTGAACATGAGAAAGTCAAACTTGCAGAATAAAACAGAAATGATATTTCGGAGGATCCCTGAATCAGACATAGGTGTGTGTTGTAATATTTAACTTCATATTCATTACCTATTCCTCCCCTCGTAGTGAGGCATTTTATTACTCCTTTCAACAAGGCAGATTTAACCTCTGATGCTATGAGTAGGCAGCCTGATTACAGTTATTATTTTTAATAAAAGCTATTGGCTCTGGAATCATTTGGTCTTTTCCTGTGAATAGCTGGTTACACATGGCGTAGCCGTGCTTTACTGGGCTGCGTGAGATTAAATATGTGAAGTGGTTTAGGCTGCAGCCGTCCAAGGCCTTGTTTTGTATACAGAATTCAATCTGCCTGCAATCAGGACTGACACCACTGTTTACTGCCTGACAGCCCCGCCACACAGAACACAGCTCATGGTATGCAAGACGGTGACAGATATTGGCAGGCCCGGCTAAGACAGGCAGCAGGTTGGAGTGATGCTCTTCAGAGGAGAGAAGTCTGCAGCGTGGGTAGGATGTATTCCACTGGCTCTTCACACAGACCAGAGGAGGCTATCTCAGATGTATCAGGAGCGCTCGCTCTCGCCCCAAATTAATTCAATGTCAGTCAAAGAGAAAGTGAAACAGAGGTGAGAAAGTGACGCAGGCCTTTGTATTAGTGGAATCGCGGGAGATGGGTGGCTGGGGTCCTAAATTCAAACCGCAAATGCTCCAGAGAACGGACTTAATAACTGAAATGCTACAGAACTACTGGTGCTGAACACAGACAGATTTGTGCTAAGAAGCATTAGCTAAGAGGAGAGTGACGTGTTTGAGGCAAAAGGCTTGAATAGATGAAAAGTAACCACTAAGCAACACAGCACAAAGATGAATTAGTCTAAATTTGGCCTTTTTTGTTTCGGGGTTTTAAAAATACTTCTTGCTTCATCATCATCATCATCATCATCATCATCGTATCAAAGGTCTAAAGCCCTTTTTTAATGCTTTCAGACCTTCCATATAAGGCTTTTAGTTTTGAGCCAATTTGCTCCAACCACCTTAAAGACGCACTCCGACTAAGTCTTCCAAACGTGAACCGCTGAGACGTTTTCAAACGATTGTTGCGACGACACAAAATGACCGCCTGTGAACGTTAACACAGTTCTGTGGTTTGTGAAGCTGTCTTAATCAGAATCAGACTGTTGCTACTTTCTCTACACTTTTCAAGAAATTTGGTGACCACAGACTATCTATAATGTAAATTGTATAAAGGAAACCCAAGCTGACTGCCTGCTGTGCTTTTAGGCAAAAAAACTCTCAAGACTCTTTCTCCATACCAGCAAAAAAAAAAAAGAACATTAAGTTCCTGTTTGAGTTGTTTAGGGTAAAAATCCTCCAAACAACCACATCTCCATGGTGACCACCGCCGCCTACCTGCAGTGCTTTGGGTTTCCTGTACCAAGTGACATCAGACAGGTGATGAAGTGGACCTCAGATAGGCTGTGATTGATTTGAGTGAAAATCTGGTCTTACGAGCCGCAGACAAAAAAAATATAAAAAACTACCGATTCAATCCACAAGTCAACACATACATCAGTTTAGACAAGAAAATCATACAACAGTCACTCCTTCAGACTCTCAGTTTAAATCAGATGAGATCAAATGTAATAAATCAGATCTTACCTTCTATCTCCACATCGGCCTTCACAGAGCCGACATCGTTTGGTTCAGATGGAGGTTCTGCTTTCTCTACAGAAAAAAACAGGCTAGATTGTGTTATTTGTTAGTTTTTTAGTGATGACTTCCATGTGTCAGGAAACCACCTGTGTTAGTGTTCATTAATGCGTACACTGCAGGAGGACTACACTGATGCAACACGTTTGTTTTCCCACTCAGCCACCAGCAGCAGTGGGATGATTAGGGCCAGAGGGAACAAACATGAAAATCAAGGAGGAAATATTGAGAATAAAGTCAGCATTTCCAAATCAAGTGTTTACAGAAAAAAGTCTAAATAGTTTATTCTTAGAAAATTCCCTTGGGCTCCTGAACCTGCCGTCTTGGAAAAACAAACAATTTTTCTGGAAAATTATTTATCAAATTTGTTGAAAATAGAATTTATACATTTCCTCCAAAAAGTATTTTGACTTTTCACTCAACATTTCAACCGTTCCTCCTTAAAATGTTCTTCTCGGTCCTGTTGTACAAGCAGGACAACACTCATCGCTCAAGGATGGTTTTTAAATGAAGGAAACAAAATCTAAGCCAATCTCTTCAATGTCAGTACTACAACTTCATTAAACTTTACCATGACTGTTATCCTAAATGGCCGCACCGTAAACAAATCCACAAATCACTGCGTCTGAAGCAGACTGGTGGGATTTTAGTCTTCTTTGATTTTCTGTGTCATCTAGCTAAACTGTAATGCTAATGCTAACTTGAATGTAAACACAAAAAAGTAGAGAACAGGTTTCTGTGGTGTTATTCTTGTTTCTGTTTGTTTAATATCAGAGAAGGAGAAACAGCCGGCTGCTACCACTTAAACTATAGGACAAACTACCGGAGTCCCACAAAGAAAACACCGTTTGAAGTCACGGACAGCAAAAGACATGTGGACCTGAAAAGGGCGACTGATCTTTAGTACGTTTTCATCACTCGCTACTCGCAATGCCGGATCCCATATCGGGGGGGGGGGGGGGGGGGGGGCAAACAAAGGGCTTCATAACAAACACATTTTTTTTTTCATTAAATGTTTTTTGGGACTGAGAAACCCCCCCATGACTGTACCTTTATCATGTTGTTGGTCGCTGCTGGCGTCGTTCATGTCAACTTCCTCATTATTAGGGTTCGGGTCATCTTCACCTTTGTCCTCATTGATCTTCTTATCTTTATCACCCTCGTCATCATCAGCCACCTCGTTGCCCTCTTCTTCATTTTGCACCTCACCAGCTTCATCTTCATCTACAACAAATACAGTAAAATAAAACCTGCATCCTATCAAAGATTAACAGAGACGAGTCTAAACCTTCACATCAAATGTTGCAACAGAAAAACAAGTCTCTGCTAACCTTTTTCATACCGGCACACTGCTTCATCTTTTTAAAGTCTGACTGAAAGCTGACAGATGATTGGCCAACAAATGTAAAACTTAAATTGTCGAAAGAGAAAATGAATTTTCTGATGAAAAGTTGGGTGGTTTGAAGGAAACCTTGTGATGCAGTGAGGTTATGAGACTCACATGGGTCAGCAGTCACAGGTCTTGTGCTCTAATGTAGACAGTAAGTAATTAAGTGCGTATAAAATGGATAATACAAGGAAAAATAACATAATAGGGCTGCACAAATTTAACACCATGTAACTGCAACGCATATTAATCCATGTTCTCTGGTTTTCACCTGCACAACACATGCCTGCATGAAGGAATCCTACATTTACTGCTGAGTTATCCTGCCAGTGCTTTTTCTAATTATAAATCTTTAGTCTCCCTTGGTCAAAACTCTCTGTTTGTGTCACATGAGAAGATAATTACACATCCTAGGTTTTGGAACGCATCCCAAGGCAGCAGTTTCTAGAACCTGCTCACAGAATATCTACAGAATTCATGTTGCGAGAGGCTCTATCTGTCAAATCGCTGTCAATGGCAAGGGATTTGAATAAAACAAAAACAGAAAAGAGACGAGGCACTGCTCGCTGCCAGTATGCAAATGCAGAATCTTAATTATATACCAGCAGCACGGAGGATATTCGGAAAAGAGAAATGGTTCTGGCTCAAAGTTAATGGTTGCCAATTTCTAACACAAACACACACAAATGCACTCGCCGCGTTTACTTACAGCTCTGGGTGTTAGCACAACAAAACGCTTCTGAGTATTGGGATGTGCTATGGACATGTTTTTAGAGTTTTGTTAGAGACTGCTGCTGGTGTTTTCTGTTTTTATGGGACTGTTTTAAAGGAGCAATATGTAGGAATTTACAAAGAAATTATCACTTAATCTAATGTGTCAGTCATGTTGGAAGGAAGGTTGCGTTGAAACAGATGCTCTCAGTTTTTCTCGCTTATAAACGACCAAACAGGGATGTATCTACCATCTATAATCAGTGAGTTTGCCAAGTCTGCACCAATCTCGAGCTTCAACACTGCCATTTGTAACTTGACACCGGTCGACATTAAGTTCCAGAGTTGTTTAAAGAACCAAAGCCAGTTAACAGGAGCGACCCAGAAGGTATTTCTTGTACCCCTAAGAAGCCACGGCATCTTTTTGGTTTACTTTTAAGCTAGTGACTAACACTGAGCAAACAATGCTAAAGGTGATTTAGAAGCAGTCAGCTCTAAATATATTTCAAGCTGCTTTTACAATTACCAACAACTCAGCAATAAAGTCAAATGTGTGTGGGAAGTAAATAATGAGACAATCGTGGTGTTTTGCTTCCTTTAATAAGTCATTCAAAACTATTGCAGCAAGCCAAAAAACCACACTTCCTCTAATTACTACCGTAATAAGTGTAGTAAGTGCTCCCTTCTGTAAAACACCCAAGAGTGCTAACAACAGATATGACATTGTTTTTATCTACTTATCTTACTGTGTATGACTCGTCTCCCTTTGTCATTAATTTGAATTGATATATATATGTGTGTATAAAGTAAAAATAAATATAAATATTATATGTAAAAAGGGGCTGCAGTACCCAGATTTGACCACCTGATCTCATTCTCCATACTTGCTAATTGCACCTTTAAACTCTAAAAGCAAGAAGATGAATGTCTGCAAACTTGAACACTTTCTGTTTCCTGTGCAGATAAGAAGCCGTTTAATGTGTTCCTACCTACTCAGTAAGTGACGGGTGATGTGGTGGAAATCTTCACTTACTGACAATCACATCCAATCATAGGTGTTTGTGCTAGAGATTTGACTTGAAGCGGTACTTTACCTCGGTTTTGACTCTCCATCCATACATCTTCTTTTGACGCCCCATCTAGAAAGCCAAAGGAAAATTCAAATGAGTGGAAAACATTTGGGTTGGATCGCCTTGGCTTTCAAAATCACCTCAAAAAGCCTTTTCATTCCAACTCTCTGTGTAGCGTTGTCTTTGTAGCGCAGTATGCGAGCAACGGAACCACAAAGACAAGCATAAATTACGTGACGACAGGAGAAAGAATGCCACTTCTAAGTCATACATAATTGAAGGATTTCTTTGTTCTACGCTGGCGTGATAAGAAAACTTTTTTGTTAGGGAGGTGGCATTCAGGAGGGAAAGACTGAACAGAGGAAAGCAGAAAATTTAATTTTTGATGACAAATGATATGAAGAAGCATTTGGTGGAGCAGGGAGGCTGAGGACATGTTTTAATGGTTCGTAAAGCCACATTACCTTCGTCACCCTCCTCTTCATTACAAGTTTCCTCTTTACCTGGAAAAAAGCAAGGGAGGAGATCTGTCATCCACACACACATGAATCCTGCCAGGCTTTCATTTAGAAAAACAAAGAGACTAGTCACACTAATCATCAGTGTTCATGGTCTGATTCATGCTGGAAGAGCTGATGAGACATTTTAAAACACAGCTCTGTTCTCTTGGACTTTGCTTTTATTCACTTTTACTGAATGTTGTACCAAAAAAAGACATGACGTACAAGAGAACTGGGTTTTCTTGTTCATAATCCAAGTTGCTCCCAATATTTTCGACTTTTACCTGATAAAAAAGCCTCAGTGACATCATCTGAACTATTGCATGCTAAGGTGAAGAAACACTGCAAATAAGTCATTTCACAAAACTCCCGACTGTTATTAAATATTGTATAAATGTATGAATACTATTTTAAACAGTTGTAATTTTTATAGGTATTTTATTTCCCAAATACTTTCTCAAGATCCTCCACTTGGTACTTCATGACCCACATTGGTGTGCCAAACCCAGCTTTGGGCACCACTGCCCTACATAACAAATGATATGCTGATGCTTTATGTCTGCTCATTACAATAAATACAATATCTAAATTATAGAAACGCACACTCATGGAGCCAGATAAAGAGGACCCTGCTGTGCAAGAAGCTGTTTGAATTCTTTAAACTGATGTAAGTATGCTAACATGCACATTAGCATGATTTATCAGCCATGAAAGCCTTCATCTTACCAAAATAAGGAGAAAAATTAAAGCACTGCCTTGAACATTTTGTTGATCAGCAATAAAAATGCAAAAATAAAATCACCACAAAAGCCTGGAGACCAAACTCCCTTTCTACACTGTAAATATATCCCATGTAAGCAGACAAGGAAGGATATGGTTGTACACTTTACAAAAACACTCATTCCCCATTATATCTGCTACTCTCCTCCTCCCAGCCCCTTCTCTTGCTCTCACATTTTCTTGTACACACAGACAAACACATATAAACCAATGCCATTTTGGACAAATTGAGCAAATGAAAGCCATGACACCAATAAGAGAACATGTTTTACAATGGCCATTGTGCAGCATCTATAATTGCTTTTTTAACAAGCTGCAGCAAAAGACCATTTTTTCATATCTATGCAATTTTGTCCTGCACTCAGAACAATAAAATTGCCAGCCGCTGTTAAGTGGGGAAAAGGCCAGCTCTCCCAGTGCCACATGTTTGTCTCAAGTACCACTGTCCATCACGCAGAATGACAGCGACACACAGATGGCAAACCTTTCTGTTAATCATGATTGGCGTTTTCAGAAAGAGCCAAAGACAGGGGGCTGAATAATACTTCACTAGGGGGGGGGGGGGGGGACGGCACGGCATTGATGCTTTCCAAGCCCTGAGGTCACCCTACAGCCTTTTTTCTGTGTCGAGCACAGCACGCACGGCCCGTGTGTCTGAAGTGATCCGTATTAACCATATATCAGATACGACAAAGGGACAAATGTCATTTCCTCTGTGCTATTTGGTCATTTGTATTTGGCTTATTGAACGGAACAGTATTCGATTTGTGCTAAAGGATGCTAAGGGACAGATTGTGGATAAGCACACACAAACAAGACCACAGAGAAAGATTCTGTGTGGGCCAGATGTGATGTATAATGGCTCCAAGTGAAGATCAATTAGAACTCCGTCTCCCTGTGAAGTAAAAAGCCCAACGAGCTGACAGAAGGTGCTGCCGAGTCATGCACTCCAAACAGCAGGTGGCAGCATCGTCACAGCTTCTGTTTGACGCCATCAGGACGTGAAGCAGGGCCTGACATGTCGCACAGAGAAGGTCCAGCAAACACACAGAATCAATATTTTCATAAAATTCTCTTTCAGAAACTTTGGAGGTTATTTTAGGCACAAACCTGCACATTTTAATGTGCTTCTGAATAAAATCACAATCTCATACACACCTAGATGATTTATTCATGTTACCATAAGAGTCAGTACATTAAACATTTATATCCTGATATTCCTAGCATGTCCTACTTGGACGACCGCTGAGTAAACATCAACTACAGATATTCTACAAAAGTAGAAGCGTTGTCTGTGAGCAAGAACACAGACAAACACGGTTCTGTAATTTCATGCACACGCTCTGTGGCAGGGCTCCATGACCTCCATCTCTCAACCTCATCCGTTGTTTCTTTAATTAAAGTCAACTGGAACAAAGGACAGCGGATATCAAGAAGAGGTGGGTGGACTTGAAACATTTATGAGACATGTAGAGGGGAGAAAAGGGCTCTGAAATGATCAGCAGCGATCACTCAAAGAGCTTTAGCGTGTGAAACTCGTGCACACGTACAACGAGAGTGCAAGTGCTTTTGCTGGTCGTGGTTGACAGGGAGCCACAGTGTGAAAGATGGCATCCCATAGAGCGCCTCGCTGTCAGTCCACACATGGCGTTATTAATCTACATATATCTATCCACACTCACACAGAGATGCACCCTCTCTCACCGCCTCCCTCCCTCTCCTCCTCGGGTGATTCCCAGCTAGCTCGCATGTGCCAGGAATTGATTTCTGGCTCTGTGTTAGCATTTTACTGCGTCCTGCCTGGCGACATCTAATAATCACACTAATTCCAATCTGATATTGAATAATAGATGTTGTGAGACGCTCGCCAACGTAGGTGCGCTCGGATAGTTCATATTTCACCTTGGACCTCTGTGCCAGCACTCGTCTCGGCATGCGATCAACCCTTCCAACCCCTCCATTTTTATTTATATTGCTTGCAGCATTTGCATGCTGTGCTTGTGTTTCATGTGGGTTACATCACAGCATGGCTTGTTGCACACACAAACACATGTAGTCAATCTGTGCCCTTGTTTCTCAAACACACTTTAGGATTATTTCAGGAAATACCTGCATTAATAAAACAGCAGAATTACTCAAGTGGTGCTCGCTGCAGAACCACAAAGGCGGAGCTGCACCAGAAGGTGGAGCTGCACCAGAGTCAGCCCCGCCCATTCCAGAATCAGCCCCGCCCATTCTATCAGAGTCAGTCCAATTCCTTCCAGTTGTCAGACTTGATAGCATTCTGGAACCAAAGAGGGTGTTATAGCTAAAAAATGCAAGATTGAGGACGGAGTTGAGAAGTGAATTGAACAGTTTTTGTAAAAGTTCCATATAATTAAAAATCTAACTTTTGGAACTTTTAATCATGTTATATGGTCATTTCCTCATAAGAAACACGCCAAAGCCATTTTTGGCCTCATTCATGCATTTTCTTCCCATCTCAGCTTCAATTTGGTCTCCTCCCCTGAAGCGGGTCTGGTCTTGGTTCTCAAATCTGGATATTCTGTGAATTTTCTGACAAATTATTTCTGAAATGACTTCTACTGAGACACCGTGAGAAAAATCATACATCCCATCTACAAAGACACACCGAATAGTATGATAAAATGTAACGCCATCTACTTTTTACCAGATGTGGTGGTGTAGTGGTGATGGTGTCAGGTTGACATGTAGTTTTGCGCAGGTTCGCCTCCCAGCAGAGGAAATGTTCTATAATATTTTTTCCTCATTTCTAGCTACACTTGCCAGTACTATGTTTACAACAATTTATTGGTATGCCGTTTAACATATAATGACTAATGTGTTTATTTATTTATTCTTTCGTTTATTTAGCCAGTGTGAGTCCATCTGTGAGCAGAGTTTCAACTAAAATGCTGTTTAGGAACGACCAAATTCAAAGAACTTTTAGAGACATAAATATTTTGCTGAAAATGAACATTAGAACTAAAATATGAACAAATTAAATGTTTCAGCTGGCTAAATAGATTGTTGCCGACCCCACCGAGAATCGAACCAGCATCAGCTGAGGGGAAAGCAAAACTTACGTCATACGATCTTACCACTAGACTACCAGAACCCACATGGTGAGGGAAGTACATGCTCTTATAGAGGAGTTTTGTTAGAGCGGTTGTGGACAGATATTCGCTAAGAGAAACCTTTTTATTTCGGGATAAATTCAGGCTTTGTCATGTAGCAAGTTATATTTATCTTGTTTAATTGGAGCATAAAACATAGCATTAACGACTGAAAAATAGAAACAGCCGTAATTCATGTGGGTCAAGTTAGTTTGCGATAAAGTTGAAAACAAAAACGGAAGTCAGTGGGCTAGGCTGAGTTTGCGTGAATGGGCGGGGCTGACTCTGGTGCAGCTCCACCTTATGGTGCAGCTCCGCCTTTGTAGTTCTGCAGCGAGCACCCTCTCGAATTACTGCTCATTCAATTGACACAGGTGGAACTTTTACTCTATATTAGGGGTGTGCATTGACAAGAATCTGGCAATATACATCACAATACAGGCGAGACAACACGAGATGCTGCAGTACTAAAATCCAGACATGTCCATTGTGATCGTGAGATCTTGTTGTTCCATCAGAACAAAGGCGGTAAAAACTGCTACCACTAAGTAGTTGGAGGTAAAACTGCACCAAACAAAAAATACAGTAAATGTAAGTACATTTTTAATGAAAAATGTTTTATGTACATTTAGTACTACAATAATAATACACCCCCCCCCCCCCCCAAAAAAAGTCAGATTAATATTTTGTTGGACCATCTTTAGCTTTGATTACGACACACATTCACTTACATAGATTTCTGCAACGTCGCCTGATTTATTTCCATCCAGTGTTGCATTAATGTTTCACCAAGGTCTTGCATTGATGATGGTAGAGTCTGACCGCTGCACAAAGCCTTCTCCAACACATCCCAAAGATTCTCAGTAGGGTTAAGGTCTGGACTCTGAACCCCTCTTTCACTATTTGAGCCCGATGTATCCTAGCATTGTCATCTTGGAGGATGGCCGCGCCATCAGGGAAGATGGAGTAACATGGTCATTCAGATATCCAGGTAGTCAGCTGACCTCATTCTTGGAGCACTTCTTGTTGCTGAACCTAGACCTGACCAACTGCAGCAACCCCAGATCATAGCACTGCCGCCACAGGCTTGTACAGTAGCCACTAGGCATGATGGGTGCATCACTTCATCTGCCTCTCTTCTTACCCTGATGCACCGCCACTCTGGAACAGGGTCCACCCGGACTCATCAGACCAGATTTTAGTAATGCATTGGACAGTTCTTAACCCATTCTTCAATCTCCTTAGATGTTTTCTCTGCTTGATGCACGCCAGTGACCTGAACCTTCTCAAACAGACCAACATCTTTTCCATCAACACCAGATGGGTCTTTCCACATGGTTGTTTAAGAAATGAAAGTTGCAGGCATTTAATATCTGTTAGTTAGCCAAATTGTATTCTCTTTTATACAACAGAGTTTATAATTACGATTTTTCCCTTTCAAGGCTTCACGAGTCTTTTTCTCAAAAGGTGAAAGAAGTTGCTGTTGTGCATGAAAGAGAGAAGCCCTATAATTACACCCAGTCCACTAACAGTGTATTAATCATCAGAAATCCAGCCGATAATGCCTGGGAGTTTCTTTCTTCATCAGTGTTTTGGTTAAAAGCACCTCACGCTGAACTCAAGAACTAAGGAAGAGTGAATCCCCACGAGGAGACTGACAGAACTGACAGATCACACTGAGGCTTACTGATGGGCACAAATTCGGCTGAAAAGCACAATTTTTCTTTGAAAAAAATTATAAAATGCCCCAACATTTGTGTTAACACCAAATCCGACCAACTTCTATGGTGTTACAGAGAAGCAGGAGGAGCCCAGTGTTCAGTGACAGATGTTACTCTGAAAATTAGAGCTGGGATGAGATCCTAAAGCATCTTCCAATGTCTGCCTCACATAGCTGACAGTCTGCTTTCCCAGCTTGCTTTTCCACTGCTCTGTGCTATCTTGACATCTGAGTGTTTTCTATGATTAATCCCTCCTATGTGCTACATTGAACCATACCCAACCTTTACAGTGCAGGCAGAACAAAATGATTCCATCCCCTTCCTATGAGAGGTTGTCTCAAGGACTGGCTGTTCCCAAGCTAGAAAGCGGTGCCAAGGCCTTTTGTGAATGGATTAGTTACTATTAAGCTGTGAGGCCTGATAAATTAGGATTTCAAAAGATTAATACAGAATACTTATGCCCTTCTAATGCCGGTGATTGAATTTATGAATCATAACGACTTATTGCTCTGAATTATGGGAAGGTATCTTGTATACGCAGAGAGAATCGTTGCTTTGTCTAACAACATAAATGCATTGAAGTCCTTAACGTGACTTCATCGTCTGATTCAGCATTCCAAAGGCAATGAGAGGAACTGAATCCCCAAAGAAAACAACCATGACTGTTATCTTCAGAAAAATTCCCTGCAACCTAAAGTCTTCAAGACAAATGGATGGTGTACAATTTTAATTGCCTACTAACACCCTCCAGTGTAAGAATCTAATTATCTTTGGTCCATCGTATCGGAGAAGCCTATAATTGTTTCAATATTACACATCCAAAGGGGCTGAAACTGCAGAATAGCCAGATAATGGCTTCTTAAACAAGTTTCCCTCAAAGAAAACATTCTTTTAAAAAAGCCTGAGCTTCATCTTGTATTCATTTCCCTAAAGAGGGGCTCGGCATCGGCGCGCAGGAGTTTACCCACCAAGAACATTCCATTAGTTTACACATGCTAGCAAATCTTCTTTCTGTAAACACACATCAGAGTCAAATGTTTCCTCCACCATTAGAGGGGTTGGACGTGCACAAACAAGGAAATGAACAGAACAGGAAAACACAAGAAACACAAACGTTTAGTAAAGGCTCACCTTTGTTGTCCTCACTTGTTTCCTGGGCTGTGGGTTTTGGTGATGGGGGTGGGTTATCTGTAAAGAAACCACCAGAGTCGGTTATGTGGGACCGATGCAACTCTAACTATAAAAGCACCAGACGCATCTCTCCTCACGGCTCGTCGATACCAGCAGTCCAGACAGTCGGAGTGAGTTAATATAATTGATAAACTGATCTTAGTGGTGACTATTTTACCACACTAGTAATTAATAACAAGCCACACTGCAGGAGATTTATTAAAAGCAGCTTAGAATGATGGAATGAAATGGCATTTTTATTGTTTATGTAATAACAAATAAAATATACTACTCATGATGAAGTTTTGTAGTACTAAATAAAAGAACACAAGACTCTTGACTCACTCTAACAATTTATCTGATACAGTAAAAGCAATATACTTAAAAGAGATGTAAAGAGAGCCGAATATTTAGGAAAATAAGCATTTATATAGTCTCGTCATAAAGTGGTACCAACAAAGGTTTTGGATTATTTTGGAGAATTTCTGATGACATATTCTGGATTACAAACTCTGGGGATGTCTGGCATCGTTTCTTTTAGCGCCATCCAATATAGTTACGTATAACATCTAACTCTTACGTTCCAGCAACAATACATACAGGGTCCACACGCATAAAAAAAACAAAAGATTTTTTTTTGGTATCTAACATCACACATCTCCTATCAAGCATACTTAAACTTTAAACAGTATTAATGTAAACAAATGTGACCTGTGTTGCCAGACGCTCGATAATCTGTTGTTTAAATCACATATGTCAGACACAAGGCCCGCGGGCCAGATGCGGCCCGCGGAGCATTTTTATGTGGCCCGCGAGATAAATATCAAAAATATATTAAAACTGGCCCGCTGGCCGATTTTACCACAAAGACTTCAACTCCCATGATGCTTTGCGGCGTTAGCGAGTAGCCGAAGCGCCCCCTCCTTTGTGTTTTTTCCAGCGTCTGCTGCCGGTGTCTGCAGCTCCGCTGTCTCAGACAAACTACACTCCTCCCACTCAGCGCCGAGTTCACTCAGCTGTTTTCTGACGTTGAAGCCCAGAAACGGAGATTCTAGCTGCTCAGTAATGTGTTCACGACTGAAAGAGAAAGTTTTCCAACTAACGTCCAGACAGAGCTGATATAACTCCAGCGAGCAGCGACACGCTCAAACCAGCACGACTCTGGTCGTGTTTCCTCCCCGACACACAACAACGTGGTCAAGCTGCTCAGACATGTTCATCAGCACAAACCTATGTGAGCACCTGTTGTCATCTAATGTTGTCATTATTATGATGAAGATGAACAAAACAACAGGAGTCTCCTCCTCAGCTCAGCTCAACCCCATGATGCAGGTATCTGGCTGGAACAGGTGAGCATCACAGTAAACCAGTGGAGCAAACTGAGCTTTAAATATGTTGGCTTTATGCTCTTTTTCTGCTCCAAAACATGAAAGTTAACAGGTGAGATGTTGCATTTTCATTTAAGATAAAATGATATTTTATTTTGTTGTTGGCCCGTGAGAAAAGATTTAACCTACAGTAAACAGGAAGTGGAAAGGCTGCAGATAGATGAATAGAATAGAAAATCCCTTTATTGTTCCTCAGTGGGGAAAGCTAGACGTCACAGCAGCGATGACACGTATTACAGGAGAAAAAAGGAGAATAAACAATAAGAAAAATGAATAAACAAGAAAACATAAATCCTGAATAGATTTTTAAAATGCTGAATATACCACAAGTAATGAACACCACTGATGCCTTTTATTTAAAACGGACTTGCTCGTGTGTAATCTGGTTATTCCACATTCAGTGTTAATGCAGAAATATGTTTGTTTCCAAATTTAAAGGTTCAAAATTGCATATATGTTGATAAAGAAAATGCAAATTTTCCGTCACTTTTTCAAAAATATTAAGTTTGGCCCTCGACTCCGTCCCAGAGTTTCATTTCGGCCCCTTGTGAGTTTGAGTTTGACACCCCTGGTTTAAATTATCGTATTCTTATTTTTGTGTAAGTTTCATCATGTTTTGTGAGGTGACCTTGGGTTTTGAAAGGTGCCTATAAATTAAATGCATTATTATCATTATTATTATTATTATTATTACGACTAGGATAATTTAGCCCTCTGTATGATCAATAACTCTATAAATCCCATAATGTATGATAATTTTGCCCTACTTGTGTGGAATCTGAGGCTGGAGATTGCATCCAGAGAAATTCCCTAACAGCCAATCAACACTTATGTCGCATGCAGTCACACGCATGATGCTGCATGACAAAGGAGGAAGTTTTGAAACACCGTATTGACCCGAATATACGTTTACTTTCATTGAAAATAATTTTAAAAGGTGGGGTCGTCTTATAATCAGGGTCTAACCATTACACGCCGGTACCAGGAGGCACCAGGCTGTGTGTTCTCAGCAGGAAAAACAAATGGAGACTAGAGGTGCGGAGCAGAGTGGGCCAAACGTGGGGCAAGTTAACAAGCTATAGGCAGAGTTATGCGAGTTTTAAGATGATGGTGGTCGATTCAGCAGGGGCGTCAAACATTACAGGTGCTGGCCAGTAAATTAGAATATCATCAAAAGGTTGAAAATCTTTCAGTAATTCCATTCAAAACGTGAAACTTGTACATTATATTCATGCAATGCACACAGACCAATGTATTTCCGATGTTTATTACGTTTAATTTTGATATTTATAGGTGACAACCAATGAAAACATCAAATCTGGTATCTCAGAAAATTAGAATATTCTAAAGGCCAATGAAAAAATGTTTGTTTCTCTAATGTTGGCCAACTGAAAAGAATGAACATGAAAAGAATGTGCATGTATAGCACTCAATACTTAGTCGGGGCTCCTTTTGCCTCAATAACTGCAGTAATGCGGCGTGGCATGGACTCGATCAGTCTGTGGCACTGCTCAGGTGTTATGAGAGCCCAGGTTGCTCTGATAGTCGTCTTCAGCTCCTCTGCATTGTTGGGTCTAGCGTATTGCATCCTCCGCTTCACAATACCCCATAGATTTTCTATGGGGTTAAGGTCAGGCGAGTTTGCTGGCCAATCAAGGACAGGGATACCATGGTCCTTGAACCAGGTGCTGGTGGTTTTGGCACTGTGTGCAGGTGCCAAGTCCTGTTGAAAGGTGAAGTCTGCATCCCCATAAAGTTGGTCAGCAGCAGGAAGCATGAAGTGCTCTAAAACTTCCTGGTAGACGGCTGCATTGACCCTGGACCTCAGGAAACAGAGTGGGCCAACACCGGCAGATGACATGGCACCCCACACCATCACTGACGGTGGAAACTTTACACTGGACCTCATGCAACGTGGATTCTGTGCTTCTCCGCTCTTCCTCCAGACTCTGGGTCCTTGATTTCCAAAGGAAATGCAGAACTTGCTTTCATCAGAAAACATAACTTTGGACCACTCAGCATCAGTCCAGTCCTTTTTGTCCTTGGCCCAGGCGAGACGCTTCTTGCGCTGTTTCATGTTCAAGAGTGGCTTGACACACGGAATGCGACACCTGAATCCCATGTCTTTCATGAGTCTCCTCGTGGTGGTTCTTGAAGCGCTGACTCCAGCTGCAGTCCACTCTTTGTGGATCTCCCCCACATTTTTGAATGGGTTTGTCGTCACAATTCTCTGCAGGGTGCGGTTATCCCTAGAGCTTGTACACTTTTTTCTACCACATTTTTTCCGTCCCTTCGCCTGTCTGTTAATGTGCTTGGACACAGAGCTCTGCGAACAGCCAGCTTCTTTAGCAATCACCTTTTGTGTCTTGCCCTCCTTGTGCAAGGTGTCAATGATTGTCTTTTGGACAGCTGTTAAGTCAGAAGTCTTCCCCATGATTGTGGTGCCTTCAAAACAAGACTGAGGGACCTTTTAAAGGCCTTTGCAGGTGTTTTGAGTAAATCAGCTGATTAGAGTGGCAGCAGGTATCTTCTATATTCAGCCTTTTCAGAATATTCTAATTTTTTGAGATACCAAATTTGGAGTTTTCATTAGTTGTCACTTATGAATATCAAATTTAAATGTAATGAACATTGGAAATACATTGGTCTGTGTGCATTGCATGAATATAATGTACAAGTTTCACGTTTTGAATGGAATTACTGAAATATTTTCAACCTTTTGATGATATTCTAATTTACTGGCCAGCACCTGTACATGCACGGATGCATTGGATAGCAGTGAGGATGACATTCTGGGAGGAGTCGGCAGGTGTAGCGATCTGATGGTACACCCCGCAGCAGCGTGAGAATCAGAGGGTGTCTGAATAAAAGCCTCATTTGACTTTTGAGTTCACATGTCAGCAAAATTCTGATAGTTTGCATTAAAATAGTATTTCTGCCTTGTTTTTGTTCTCAAATTTTTAATAAAAATAATTAATTAAAAAAGTGATTGTTTTGCTGTCCTTTCCTCAAGATTAGTCTTGGAAAGTGGGGTCGTCCTATATTCGGGTCAATACGGTAAGTAGCGCTGGCTTTAACTACAGCCGAGAGCGCAGATGCGGCATCGCCAGCAGGCATACAGACAGCAACGGTTGTCAACATTGCTTTCATCGACTGAAACCTGTTGCTGGGGCTCCCACTAAAGCTTTTTACTGCTGCTGCACCATTCAAATGGTCAGTGTGTTAATACATACGTATATATGTGTGTGTACTTATATGTCTCTCTCTCTCTCTCTCTCTCTCTCTCTCTCTCTCTCTCTCTCTCTCTCGCTCTCTCGCTCTCTCTCTCTCTCTCTCTCTCTCTCTCTCTCTCTCTCTCTCTATCTATATATATATATATATATATATATATATAGTGGAGGTTCCTCCAGCCATTTCTCAGTGTTAGTATTATTTAAATATTTTTTTCCACACGCTGGTTTATTATTTCATTTTGTTGCAATATTGTAAGATGTTTACTAATGGGTGCACACATTAAGTAATTTATCGTATACATAGTTTATTTGATCATTAACTATTTTCATTTGTATTCTGCTGAGATTAGATGAACTGGCAGAGAGAGAGGACACTCCCAGTGTAACTCCAGGCAGG